GAAACCCTAAGAATTTTCCTGATGCCACGCCGAAGGCGCATTTCTCGGGGTTCAGTTTCATCCCGTATCTTCTCAGTATCTCGAAGGTTTCTTTCAGATGGTCGATGTGGTCTTCTTTTCTTGTCGACTTTACCAGCATGTCGTCGATATAGACTTCCATAGTCTCACCGAGCTGCTCTTTGAACATTTTGGTTACCAGTCTCTGGCATGTAGCCCCCGCATTTTTGAGCCCGAAGGGCATTACCTTGTAGCAGTAAGTCCCTTGGTGGGTGATGAAAGTTGTCTTCTCTTGGTCCTCCTCGGCCATCATGATTTGATTGTAGCCGGAGTAGGCGTCTAGGAAGCTCAGTAGTTCATGTCCTGCAGTGGCGTCGATCAATTGGTCGATGTGGGTTAGTGGGAATGAATCTTTTGGGCATGCCTTGTTCAGATCGGTGAAATCCACACACATTCTCCACTTCCCGTTTTTCTTTTTGACCATGACAACATTGGCGACCCACTCGGGATACTTTGATTCTCTGATGGAGCCGTTGGCCAGTAGCTCGTCTACTTCCTTACCGACCACTTCATTGATGGCGGCGTTGAATTTTCTCCTCATCTGTCGCACGGGCGGATGTAATGGATCGACATTCAGCTTGTGGGTGGCGATGTCTCGCGGGATTCCCGGCATATCTGAATGGGAAAAGGCGAACAAATCTGCATGGTTAGTTAAGAATTCACAATACTTACTTGGGTTGGCGAGACCTTGCCCGATATAGGCTTTCTTCGTAGGATCGGTTTTGTCCAATTGGACTGGGTCGAGGTCTTCGACCGTTGCTTTACAGGCTTCCACGACGTCGGGGTCTTTGATGACGTCCGTTGTCGGGTTGACCTTAGTTCCCGACATGGCTAATTGCTATGCCTCCGCGCTCGCCCCCTTTAGCTGTTGGGTGTGGGCGCAGTCTTGGGCTATTTTGTAGCATTCTTGTGCGGTGCGTGGCTCGCCTCGAATACTGAATACTCCCCATGGGGTAGGGAATTTGATCACTTGGTAGAGGCTTGAAGGGACCGCTCGCATGGCGTGTATCCACGGGCGTCCTATGATGACGTTGTACGCCGTTTCTTGGTTCATCACGTGGAAAGTTGTTTCCAGCGTGACTCCTCCCGCTAAGACGGGCAGTGCTATTTCTCCGGACGTCCGTTCCACTGCATTGTTAAAACCGGTTAGTGTTATGCAGCGCGGTATTACCTTATCCTCGAGTCCTATTTGTATGAGGACCCTTGGGTGGATAATACAGGCGCCACTTCCGTCATCGATCATGACTCTTTTAACATCTGTATCAGCGATACGTAAAGTGATAACTAAGGCATCATAATGAGGGAAAGACAAACCGTCGGCATCAGACTTATCGAAGGTGATACAATCTTCGAAGTCCTCATACCGTTCATGGGCGATGGTCCGCTTTAGTCTGTGTATGGTGGCGAGCTTGACGTGATTGATCGCTGAGTCATCGCCGCCTCCGACGATCATGTTTATCGTGCGCGCTAGGGAAGGTGGCTTCGGCGGCCCGTGGAGTTGTTCCCGTCCGCGTGCAAAGTTGATTTTTTCCTTTGTCAGTGAGTAGCTCCCTCAGGTATCCCTGGTTCAGCATCCTGACCACCTCTTGCCGTAGGCCTATGCAGTGTTCGGTTTTGTGTCCTCGTTCCTGATGGAACTCACATAGGGCGTTTGATTTCCTTGTGGCAGGGTCTGATTTCATCTTCTGCGGCCAATGCACCTTGGTGCTTAGCTTCTCCAGTGCGTACACTATCTCTGAAGGAGATACACAAAAGTTATGGGCAGTTAATAAAGGGGGCGTACCTCTTTCGTTTCGCAGTGGGGCGACGTGTCACTGTAGTGCGTCTGTATGCCTTGGTGGCGGATGGGAGGATCCGGTGTATGTCTGGTGTCGATCTCTGTTGGAGCGGGGGAGTTGTTCCCGTCGACCTTCGTTCCGTCGATCTCTCCTTGTTTCTGAGTGTATCGCTGTTAGCCGTTGGGTCGGCCCATTAAGATCATCCTCGTCCGCTCGTACCTCGGCGCAATAGGCGTTGTGGATTTCCTCCCATGTGGTAGGGGGATATTTCATGAGGCGGCTCAGCAGCTTCTTGGTTGCCCTCGAACCATCTCTGCTTAGCCCGTGCTGGAAAGCGGCGACTGCCATACCTTCCGATACGTTTGGTAGACTCATCCTTACCCTGTTAAACCTTGCCAGGAAGTCCCTGAGTCCTTCTCCTGCGTTTTGCCTGATGGCGAAGATGTCGTTGACCCTGGCCTCCGCTTTCTTCGCGCCTGCATGGGCTGTGACGAATTTATCCGCCATTTCCTCGAACGTTGATATTGCCTTAGCCGGTAGCTGAGAGTACCATGTTAAGGCCCCTCCTGTCAACGTCTCGCCAAACTTCTTCAGCAGTACCGACGGTACCTGTTCTTTCGATAGGTCGTTGCCCTTCACAGCGGTGACGTAGTGGATCAGATGATCCTCGGGATCTGTGGTTCCGTCATATACCCTTAAGTAGGGTGGCATCTTGAAGGTTTTTGGGGTGGAGTGAGGAGCAGCTTCTTCGGTGTATGGTTGTTCAACGAACCTTCCCACGTCGCGTTTTGGTAGCAACTTGGGAGCACCGAGGATCTTGTCGACCCTCTCCTGATGTTCCTTCATCTGACCGCGGAGCGCCTTGTTTTCTCCATTTCTTCCATCTTCTTTAGGATGGCTGTTAGCGTGCCATCGTTGGTCTGTGTCTCGATGGGTCTGTTATTTACTAGTGTAGCTTCCGGTTCACCCACGGCAGCAGTGGTACCTACCGTTGGTGTACATACGATGTTATTTTGCGGTGACCTCTCAACCAAGCCACTTAGAGTGCTTGTTAGCCATCTTTCCAGTAGCTCTTTGACCGCTGAGGGTGCTTCCGTAGCCGCAGATGTGGAAGCTCCTTTTTCGTGCAAGATCGTCAGGCCTTCGGACGGGGAAGGTGAGATCTCTGCACCCGGTGTGATGCTAGGGGTTGCATTCAGGATGCCATCGTCACTGGCCTCGTTGAGAGGGCCCAGGAGATTGGTAGTGACACCCAATATGGCTTTCGATCTTGTATTATTTTCGGCCATTTTCTGTTTTTGTGTGGTGTAGAGAGTGGTAGTTGGTTGATCTCTAGGTGGATACTATGGTTTTGATTTTCGAAATCCCCACAGACGGCGCCAAATTGTTTGGCTCAAAAGTTAACGATATACTTTGTAAGCGATAAAACAATCAAAAATAGAAAAGGGGTAAATCGTAATCAAATATAATAAGCCTAGAGATGCAAAGATGATAATATTGTTGTAGATCTAATATTGCAAAGTGACAATGTTTACCAATAAGATATTTTCGTTAGAAGTAGGGATATAGAGAGAGAAAGTCAGAAATATGAGAGAGTTGTATTAGATCAGATCCCCTTTTTACAATGTGGAGGTCTCCTTTATATAATAGGAGACCTTCCTCGAAAGAATCAAAAAGTTACAAAGATAGGTAACGTCTCCCTAGTGTAGACGCTGAGTTCTAAACGATGTCGCTTTTGTCCTCACGGCCGAGTCGTACCCGCTACGTTGGTCGGCGTACACTCATTGGGCGTACCCACTGGCGTAGAGATACTGAGGGTCAAATTTGACCCTATACAAACTATACATTTTAATATGCTTTTCAGTTTCTATGGAAATTGAAAAATAAAGGATCATAATTGTGTTAATTATTACTATGACAGAGGAATGACTCAACAATTAATTATATACGATTATTATACTTTTCACTTACCTGAATTGTTTGTAAATAAATTGTATTAATTATATTAAGATTCCATTAAAACCTCAAATTCCTTAATAAAAATACAAAATCAAAAAATAAAGAAAGCAAGAATTCCGGGGTAATCACCAGTTTGCTCCATCGTAGCTTAACTCTCACCACTGAGAGCCTCTCTTTATTTCTCTTAATCTTCTTGAAGTTCAGCAGTACCATCCAATTGACGACGACGTTGTCGAACCACTTAGAGCCTTAAATATCCTACCAGCTTCATTTTCATCAACCGATAATTTCGCTCCTCTTAAATTAAAAATTTAATGGCTAAAATAGAACTGTAGAAGACAAAGACACTAGGTTTAATTTGTGTTAAGCTTCTTTTCTGGTAATGGGTGTTGCGATGTTATGGAGACTTTGGGCAGCAGAAAAACTCAGTTGAAATCCTAATTTTTCTTGTCAAAAAAGTTGATACAACATCAAGAACCGATGAATTTAAGATATTAATACAAAGGTGGTACAAAATTCACAAAGGAAACAAATTGAAATTTGTACAATTGAGGAAAGAAGAAGTTCAGAGAGATAAACATTTACAGAACAGAGCCTAAAATTAAGGGCAAGAGGAGCGATTATTAAAGACATATTAAAGAAACCATAGCCTCCCTTTTTTTTAATATTCAAGACATATTAAAGAAAATGTAAAGAAAAAATTACCTTACAATGATATACAAGAAATTGACAATGAAGTTAGTTGCAGGAGACCTTTAATAGAAGCAAAACATCTATAAAAATAGAGAAAGAGACGAAGAAAATAAGAGAACTTTAGAAGCAAAAAAATCGCAGAGAAAACATAGAAGAGACGATATGTAATTTTTTATGTTATAAAAAGGGATCTTTGTATTATTTAGCAATAAGTTAAGCAAAAAATTTGCTCATGTTAATTAGCAAAACATGATCATAAAGCAGACTCCTTTTAAAATTTAAATTTCAGGTAATAGTAGGGACAAACAAAATTATAGTATTGTGTTTCCTTTTCAATTATTTTAGATGGTTTAAGATTAACGCTAGGATTCTTAAACTAAATAATCGTACATCCAACTGCTTAAGCTAAAAATGCCCGTCAAATATATACCATATATATGTATAGTTTATATGTAACATATGAACAATCATGTATCATTAGTGTATGTTTTGTGTATATCTGCTAAAAAAAGAAAACAATAACCGTATATCTGCACGAAGATCCCAAAAATTATAGTCTAATATTTAGCATATGGCTATCGGTTACTAGTACTCTATAAGTTTAGATTGTTTTCCCAACTTCCCACAAAATAATATGAACAGAGATAAAATTGCATAATCTGCAAAAAGAATTTCGGCACTCTGGTGAACATATTATTAATGGAAGCTTGTCAAATCAACGATAAATAATTTAAGACCAAAATTAACACCCCATGACAGAATATCCAGGGATACTGCTCAATTTATTTGCTTTTGGCAAGGTTTTCAGCACCTTGAATGGGGAGGAGGTTCTTCCCAAGTCAATGTTATCGTCTATTCGCTTATCCAAATCCAGGCTACGGTGTTAATTTTCAGCCCCCAGCCTTGTAGAATCATCTGAAAACCACCATTGACGTGATACCAGTGCTGCAAACAAAAAATGAATTTGAGAAAAAACTATATAAGAGATGGATTCCATGTGATAAAAGTACCGCAGACAAGCAAGAATATGAGTAAGCGCCCGTTTGGATGGACTTGTTTTAAGAGTCTTTTAAGCCATATAAGTAGGAATTCTAACTTTTAGCTTTTGGCTTGTTTTTGTCATTTTAGCTTAAAAACAAGTGCTTAAAAGCACTTTTTTACTTTATCCAAACATTACAAAATGGCTTAAAAGCTATTTTAGCTTAAAAGCACTTAAAACAAGCCAATCCAAATGGGCTCTAAATGTGTATCAGAGATGTATAGGAAGCTGTTCTATGTTCTTACCGCAACACTGACCTGGTTGAGATTTCGCGAGGATTATTACATGTAAGAGTATAAAGGGACCAAATTAAAAAAAAAAAAAAATAACGAATGAATTAATATGGTTTACAGAATTTCTCCATATTAAACATTGCAAAACAATACATGAGCTGACAGAGTTAGGATCACAGGCATTTTCAGTGATCCACTGTTATCAGTGTGGCAATGATTGCTTGCCAGAGGTGCGACTACACCTTATTGTTTCCATGCGTAAAGCTTATTTAAGAAACCATTTACATTTCACAAGGGTACATAAAACTCATTCGTGTTAGTTTACTTAGAAAGAGGTCCCCATTCAAATAAACATGCATCGAGCTTTTTGCCCCATCAACAACCCCACAAGAGCAACACTCCTAACCACCACCATCCCACACCTAATCCTAGATTGATTTCCCAATAACAGTTGTTTGACCTGTATTACTCTATTTCACTTCTTCATTCAATATAACCACTCAAGTAAAGACGTAGTTTCCTATATCTCGAAGCAGAAAATACAAACATTTAGTTTCCGAAATCTTAAATTCTATCAAAATAAGCCAACTATCAATCCATTGCCCTAAATTCAGTTAGCCATGGCAGCAATGAGGTTCCTCATGGAAAAACTATTCCTCCGGTTCACTGGGAAAAGAAAAAAGAATTCAGAACCTACCCAAATTTAAAGGAAATAGCCAACAGGAAGTTGGAACCAGTGCAAAATCGAAAATAGGGTGCAGCATAAATCAAAAAAAGGAATTCTCATTAATTTACAAAATTCTAATAAGTTGGACCTGTTGGGTGACAGTTTTGGAGAAGCGTGGTAGATATTCCTTTGGCTAACTCTAGGCTAGCATAGGGATGAACAATGGCCAAGTGCAAGATAATGGAAGAAACTATGACAGTTTCCTGTGGTGAAATGACGTTTAAATTAAGCAAGCGTGACGAGTAATTTCACTGGACTCCATAGTTTTGTACGCGTGTGGACTATCAAAGCTTGAGCATGCTATGACAGGGTAACTTTTTGACCACTATAATTCAAATTTTTATAAACAAGCTCAGAACTGCTATGGCAAGAACCTATAACCTTCCACATAAAAAATTGTATGCTGGGAGTTCAGCAATATGAATTTGTACCGAAAAACAAGAAGACACAAAGAAGAAAAAAAGAAAATTGAAAATAATAAATGAAAAGAGAAGAAAAAAGAAATACAGAAACATTATTTTCACTAAAGAGATAACCCTCTTACAGATGCAATTTTTCCGCGGCTTAGTCTTTTAGGGGAAAAAAAACAGGAGGGGGGGGGGGGGGGGTTGGAGCATCCCGTACTGGATTTTTCTCCCCAATATTTCAGCAAAGCAACAAAAAGTAAAAAGTACCAGAAGAAACAATGTCATGCTCTATGCTCTCCAGGGAAACCAAACTTACACATGGTTCAAAAACCAGCATATACTGTTTTCTACTACAAACAAGAGAGGCTATATACAAGCACCTCAAAACCAATAACCCTGACAAAGTCCAGAAGGAGACTACAACCTCCGGATTTCTAGTGAGCCATTAATGCAGTTTTGAATTAGTAATCTCTAGAGAAATATCAATGTCATGTTCCATAGTGCATAGGCTGGCACAGACTTGAGAAACAAATAGGATGCTCAGAAAAAGTTATATTGCACACTTGGATATCACCCCAAATTCCAAACTAAAATTCTTGAGCAAGCATGTATTATTGTGTATTGTGGAAGAAGTTTTCAGAAAACAATTGTTTTTTTTATGAAATAACACAATTGCTTTCTGCAAAATAATTGTTTTGTTCTCCGAACAGTTTAGTATCAGCGCTACAAATGTAGATTGAGCAAAGCGGGGAAGTGCTGATAATTAAGCTAAAGGTTGATTGAGCAAGAAATCTGGTACAGTCATGACCTTTTGGATTGTACATCAAAATTCCTGATTTATATTGGTATTAAATGCAGTCAAGACCCTTCTCTTTTTACATTAAACAAGAACAATATTACTTCTTTATTAAGGAATAAGAACAATATTACTTTAGTAATCAATCTATTGTTGATGATATTATCCTCACAAGAAACAACGTCGTGTTTATGTGGGATTTAACCAAGAAACTACACATAAAATTTTCTCTCAGGGGTCTACACCAGCTTCACTACTTGCTCAATATTTTCGCACATGGATTACCATCTTCCAGAGTAGGTACACAAAAGAAATACTGAATCGAGCCAAAGTCACGGATTGCTTTCACTTAAACACTCTCATGACACTGAAATTTCAGCCCGCTTAGTAGACGCCCTCTAATACCTAAGCAATTATACACAACCTGAAGTTGTTAATGCAATCAATAAGGTATGTCAGCACCTCCACGTCCAGTGGAAGGACATACAAACGCAATCAAAATTATTCTTTGACATTAGAAGAAATGATCCATTATGGCCTCACATTCCTTTCACAAAGTTCATTCGAACTTTATGGGAACTGCGATGCAGAGCAGGCAGGTTGTCCTAACACAAGGAGAAGCACTTCAGGGATTTGCATCCACCTAAGCCCCAACTATATTTCTTAGTCCTTCCGGAAACAACCAACGGTCTCCAAATCTAGCACAGAAGCGGAATATCAATCCATGCATCCACAACTGAAGAATTAGATTAGATAACTTTTCTTCTTCGAGGCATTGGTATCTGTGAGAAAGCACGGGAGAAAATATATTATTGATGTATTGACATATGTTACAATGAGCCCTATATATATACACACATAACATGTCCTACTCCTAATATATATTGGATTAGGGTTATTTATTTACTCCTATTTACATGACTATTCTAACACTCCCTCTCAAGCTGGTGCATATAAATCATATGTACCGAGCTTGTTACATATGTAGTTTATACGAGGACCAGTGAGGGACTTGGTGAAAATATCTGCAAGCTGATCATTCGACTTCACAAACTTTGTAGCAATATCTCCCGAGAGTATCTTTTCTCTAACAAAGTGACAGTCAATCTCAATGTGTTTAGTTCTCTCATGGAACACTGGATTTGACGCAATATGAAGAGCAGCTTGATTATCACACACAAGTCCCATCTGACTAATCTCACCAAATTTCAACTCCTTGAGCAACTGTTTGATCCAAATTAGCTCACATGTCGCCATAGCCATCGCTCGATATTCTGCTTCTGCACTAGACCGAGCAACCACATTCTGTTTCTTGCTCTTCCAGGACACCAAATTTCCTCCTACCAAGACACAATATCCAGACGTAGAACGTCTATCAGAAGGTGATCCTGCCCAATCAGCATCTGAGTATCCAACGATCTGCTCATGGCCTCGACCCTCAAACAATAAACCTTTGCCTGGAGCTGATTTTATATACCGAAGAATGCGAACAACTGCATCCCAATGACTATCACACGGAGAATCCATAAACTGACTCACAACACTCACAGAAAAGGAAATGTCAGGTCTTGTCACTGTAAGGTAATTTAATTTACCAACCAACCGTCTATATCTTGCAGCATCGCTAAGAGGCTCCCCCTGTCCTGGCATAAGTTTAGAATTCGGATCCATCGGAGTGTCAACCGGTCTACAACCTGTCATTCCTGTCTCTTCAAGAATATCTAAGGCATACTTTCGTTGTGAGATCACAACACCTGAGCTAGACTGAGCGACCTCAATACCCAGAAAATACTTTAGTTTGCCCAGATCCTTAGTCTGAAAGTGTTGCAAGAGATGTTGCTTCAATTTAGTAATACCATCCTGGTCATTGCCGGTAATAACAATGTCGTCAACATAGACCACCAGATAAATACAGAGACTCGAGGCAGAATGCCGATAGAATACAGAGTGATCAGCTTCACTCTGAATCATGCCAAATTCTCGAATAACTGTGCTGAACTTACCAAACCAGGCTCGAGGAGACTGCTTTAGACCATAAAGTGACCGACGCAAGCGACATACAAGGCCACGAGACTCCCCCTGAGCAACAAACCCAGGTGGTTGCTCCATATAAACTTCATCCTCAAGGTCACCGTGTAAAAAAGCATTCTTAATGTCCAGCTGATAGAGGGGCCAATGGCGAACAGCAGCCATGGATAGAAAAAGGCGGACTGATGCTATCTTAGCCACAGGAGAGAAGGTATCACTGTAATCGAGCCCAAATATCTGAGTATATCCTTTGGCAACAAGACGAGCCTTAAGACGATCAACCTTACCATCCGGACCAACCTTGACTGCATACACCCAACGACAACCAACAGTAGATTTACCTGAAGGAAGAGGGACGAGCTCCCAAGTACCACTCGTATGTAAAGCAGACATCTCGTCAATCATAGCCTGTCGCCATCCTGGATGAGACAATGCTTCACCTGTAGACTTAGGGATGGAAACAGAGGACAAAGAAGATAGAAAAGCATAATAGGGTGATGACAAACGATGATAACTCAAACCGACATAATGGGGATTAGGATTAAGGGTGGCCCGTATACCTTTCCGAAGTGCAATCGGTTGATTAAGAGGAGACAAGTCCGCAGTATTAGCAGGGTCAGGTGCAGGACGTGAATCAGCTGGACCTGATGCTGGGCGCGGACGACGATGATATGTCAAAAGTGGTGTTCCTGTGGCAGGGAGTCTAGGAGGAGCCACACTAGACTCCTCAACGGCTGGAATGGATAAGACTTCTATAGCGGAAGGTGAAGGAGGAGCTATAGGAGACTCGGGTAAGACTTCTGTGGCGGAAGGTGAAGGAGGAGCTATAGTAGACTCCTTAAAGGTCGGTATAGGTAAGACCTCAGATATATCAAGGGGGTCAGAAAGGTCAGAAGAGGTAAAGAAAGGTTTAGACTCAAAAAATGTGACGTCAGAGGACATAAAGTACCTACGAAGATCAAGTGAGTAACAACGATAGCCCTTCTGAACACGAGAATAACCAAGGAAGACACACTTGAGAGCACGAGGAGCTAACTTATCTTTCCCAGGGGCTAGGTTATGAACGAAACAAGTGCTCCCAAAAACACGAGGGGGAACAGAGTATACGGGTGATTGGGGACACAATACTGCATACGGTATCTGATTCTGGATGGGAGAGGAAGGCATCCGATTAACTAAATAACAAGCTGTGAGAACTGCATCGCCCCAAAAACGCAGCGGAACATGAGATTCAATGAGAAGTGTGCGAGCAGTCTCAATGATGTGCCTATTCTTTCTCTCTGCAACCCCATTTTGCTGAGGGGTATAAGGACAAGAGGTCTGATGAATAATTCCTTGAGAAGTCATAAACTGCTGAAATTGAGAGGATAAATATTCTAAGGCATTATCACTGCGAAAAGTGCGAATGGAAACACCAAATTGATTTTTAATTTCAGCACAAAAATTCTGGAATATAGAAAACAACTCAGAACGATCTTTCATTAAGAAAATCCAAGTACATCTTGAATGATCATCAATAAAACTAACAAAATAACGAAATCCCAAGGTTGAACTGACTCTACTAGGACCCCATATATCAGAGTGAACTAAAGAAAAAATAGACTCTACGTGACTCTCAATACTACGAGGATAGGAGGCTCGGGTATGTTTCCCGAGCTGACATGACTCACACTCTAATGTGGATAAACTAGACAAACCAGGCACCATCTTCTGAAGCTTGGATAAGCTTGGATGTCCTAAACGTTTGTGAATTAGGTCCGGAGGATCTGTAACTAGACATGCCTTGGAGGATTTTAGGGAGTTAAGGTAGTAAAGCCCTTCTGATTCAAGTCCTGTTCCAATCGTCTGCCCTGTACTGCGGTCCTGCATAATAAAAGAATCATCAATAAAATATATACCACAATGGAGGGCACGAGTCAAACGACTAACAGATGCAAGATTAAAAGGACAGCCAGGGACATAGAGAACGGAATCTAGAGTGACAGAGGGTAGGGGATTCGCTTGTCCAACTCCTTTTGCTTTGGTTTGAGACCCATTGGCTAAAGTAACAGTGGGAAGAGACTGTGAATACGCAATATTTGACAAAAGTGATTTATTACCAGAGATATGATCAGAAGCGGCTGAGTCCACAACCCATTGTCCAGGAGGACTAGACTGGGAAACACAAGCAAAAGAATTACCAGCAACAGAAGTATTAGTCTGAGCAACAGAAGCTACTTGTGGAGATGTCTGCTTACTTGCTCGATACTGAAGGAACTCATTATACTCCCCTTCAGATAAAGAAAATCCCTGGTTACCTGTAGTCTCAGTCTGAGCAACATAAGCATTTTTGGTTGGGCGGCCATGTAAAGAATAGCATACATCACGAGTGTGTCCAAGTTTATGACAATAGGAGCACTTGGGTCTAGATCTTCCAAAACGACCTCCTCCTCGTCTATTTTCCATAGTATGAGATGCCCGATTGTCCACTGATTGGGATACGAGGACAGATGAGTCAAGTGTCTGTGATGAGCTCACTGGGTGACTAGGTGCTGCAGCAAGGCGAAGTAATCGAGAGAATAATTCATCAACTGAGGGGACGGTTGGACTAGCCAAAATCTGGTCACGTACTGAATCAAGGTCATTAGGGAGTCCAGCGAGTGTAAGAACTAGAAACATCTTCTGTCGTTGCTCTTGTTGTTTTTCAATACTAGCAGAAACTGGCATCAACGTCTCAAATTCTTCCATGACTGCCTGAACTTGTCCCAAGTAAGTAGACATATCTAATTCCTGTTTCTTCAAGCTTGTCATTCGCGATATTACATCATAGAAACGAGATATGTCATTAGTGTATAGATTACGAGCCTTTTCCCAAACTAAATAACATGTCTGGAATGGACGGAACAAGGGCATCAACTTGGAATCAATAGATCGCCACAGGATACTACATAACTGAGCATCGACCTTCTCCCACTGTGTTTTGGCCTTTTCATCACCTTCGCTAGCCTTTTTTGTTAAATGATCTTGAACTCCTTGACCTTTACACCACAACTCGACAGATGAAGCCCAATCTAAGTAGTTTGAACCTCCCATTAAAGGTTCTGAGGTAATCATAACACCGGAACTGCCAGAACCCGGGTTTCTAGACCCGAAAGCATCGACTCCCAAAGACATGGTTGGATTATCACCAAATAACAAAAAGAATCAACTGAAAATTCTCTGAAACAGATGAAGAAAACACTGTGTTTGCCGGAAAAGTACTGTAGCTGCCGGAAAAATCAGTGTAGTCGCCGGAAAAACTCAAAGTGGTCGGAATTAAAAAATAAAAATATGGACAGGCTCGGAATTGCAGGGCGATCCAACTGTCCTGAAGGAGCGAAGCCGAAATCTGACAGGAAGGGGTCTCACGCGCCGGCGCGTGGGACAGACGCGCCGCCGGAAACAGTGCTCCGACAGGCGCGTGACGGCACGTGGGTGACTGTTTTCCGGTGATTTTTTTCTGGGGTTTGGTCGGATCTCTCTTGGGAACCTTGTGGTGGTGTTGGATTTTGCACAACACTGTTAATTAGTGACTTTGACGCAATAAGTCACTTAGGTCACCGGAAAATTGCACGGTGACTGAGTTCTTTCTTCCCGGATATCGCTGGAATGACGCACAACGATAAATTTCTCACCGTAGCTCTGATACCATGTGAGAAAGCACGGGAGAAAATATATTATTGATGTATTGACATATGTTACAATGAGCCCTATATATATACACACATAACATGTCCTACTCCTAATATATATTGGATTAGGGTTATTTATTTACTCCTATTTACATGACTATTCTAACAGTATCCAATAAATATCACTCGCCTCAGCTTCTACAAGACAACAAAGGTGCACTTTATATGTAAATTAATCCAATATTTCATGCTTGGAGCAAACATATCGAGAAAGATTTTGTTCGAGAAAAAAGTATTTCTTGGTGCACTCACTACACACTATATTCCTTTTGCGCTTCAAGTTGCAGACATCTTCACTAAACCACTTTAAAGGTTTCGTTTTCCTTCTCTTTAGTCAAGCTAGGAGTGCATTCAGTCATTTCCTCCAGCTTGAAAAGCGGTGAAAAGGAGAAGTATAAGCCTAAAATTTATCCCCAGCTGGTATATGAAATATAAGCCAAAACCCACAGCTTATTTTCTCAAAATACCACCATTAATGTGCTTCAAGAAAGGAGTGGCTTTTTAACTCAATGGCAAATGCCATCAATGCTGCCAACTTACTGCAAGGGATGGGCTTTTGCAGAAAACGGAGAGCAAACAGCCTAATAAAGAATGATTTAGAATATAGAAGACAAGACCTTGGACTATCATCTCAGGTGTGCCAAGAATAAAAAAAACTTTTAATACAGGAACTTCTTCAATTCAATATAACGTCCATAATGCATAGTCAAATTCAGTTTGCTTTAGTAGGTATTAAATTTCATATACCAAAGCACTTCCCCACCCCCCTCCCCCTCTTCTCTCAGTTCGAACATTGGTTGATCTTAGCTTAGCATGCTAGCCGCTGCTTCCTTTCTTCCAGGGGGAAGGGAGTTGGTTTATAACCAGACTCTGAAGTTTTCTACTAGGTAGAGTATTTCAAAAAAATAAGTTAGAATAGAGGGTGTGATAGTCCAATTCTACATATTCTGTGATCCGCCTCAAAGCACACAGGCACAGATATACTTTAGACAGGAATATGCCATAAATTTCACAGCATAAACGTGTTTGTTACCAAACCATTACATAGGCAAGCAAATGGAAAAGAAAATGGTGATAACCTACCAACTTTCAAGACTGATAAACTTCAGGAAGGCGGAGACCCACACTTGCAGCAGATTTGCCCAGCACTTTTGTCATCTCATCGGATCTATCTACTGCAATGTTGTAAGAAAATAACAAGTCCTGCAGAAATAAAGGAAGTCATTGGATTTGTAAAATGCAATTGTAATATCACAGATTCCTTAATACAAGAACAAACACAACATCCAGAGAACCATGATGAAAGAAGAGACGGGAAGGTCACTACACAAATAATGCTGAAGTTGAGAAAAGAAGATTCCGGATGACTCCCTTTAATTTAGTTCAACTTTATGGTCAAGTAATAAAGGATAAAACCGCAAGGTATACATAGGGCTCAATCAGAAAACATCTTCAGCGATATATATATATATATATATATATATATATATATATATATACATACTGCATCAATCAGAAAAAACAATTCATTTTCGATTCAAAGCCACCTACTGTTAACAAGTGATAAGCTTTAGGATTTTGCATATCAGTGGAATATGAATACCTTAGGAGTGTCATTCAGAGTACCAAAAGCTATGAAAGGAGTCTGAAAGACCAGCATTTTGTATTTTTATTTTAATCATGCATAGCAAATGCTGCCTGTGTTGGTAAGATGCTGACATTGTGAAACCCCAATGTTTGACAAAATGAGTCAGCTCAGTTGGATGGAGAATGCCTTACGATCAAGTTTAAGCAATAAAATCTTAATTCAAATTTTCAATAAAAAAAGATGGAAGAATCTTTTTCTTCTCCCTCTTTTTATTTTTTGAGTTAAATATTAAACACCTATATAATTATGATTAAGTTACAGATTACCTATAAGCTTATCACATAATCCTCCTATATTACCAAAGTCTTCCACAATTATAAACACTATTACTTCTTGTTCTCCATTAGTCTTTTTTACAGTAAGCAAAAAATTATTTATATTGACAAATATATTAACAAAGTTGATCCTAGTGATGATTTTCTCATGGGATTTGATGTCATGCCACAATATTACACCCATGAGCACATTAACTTCCTCTTCGACAACACTTGTCTTGATGAAGATTTCATAATCCATAATCATCTTATATGCAGCTTTTGACTGTCGTGGGTTAACATAGCTAGTGATGAGATGGATGATGTTGCATTAGCACTTTTATGATGAATTTCTTTACCCCTATAAAAAGAAGATAGGTAAACAATTTAATTTTATTCCCTTGATTCACATTTCACACAGCATAGGATGATTACAATCTGATGCGCATTCTAATCATACGAATAAGTTGGTGAAATGTTCATTACAAATGACCATTGTGCTCAACATTTTCTGATGACCTACTGCTCATTACTAGCTATGAGTTTATATCAATATCAATCATGCCTCAATAAAAACAAAGTTAGGGTCATCTATAAGAATCCTCAGGACTATTCAGACCTTAATCATTCCAATACTACGTTTACCTAAAAATAATTTGCCTTAAAATTAAGGTTTCTCCAAAACTAGAACCCTAGAGGTTCTTTAAATCCCACAATTATCCATACAATGGCATTCGAGTCTATAACCAGACAAAAGAGACTCCTAGCCAACAGACTTTATGTAAGAATGACAAAATAAAATAAAAACTTAATCCAGCTAATTGGTATTGCCTCTATAGGTCCCTAATAAATTCACGTAAATTCCAAGAAACTGCACGTCTTCTGAGACCATCTTTCTCCAGGTTATTTTAGACCTCGTCCCTTTTAGCACCTTCAATTATCATGGTGCCGCACCATCTCAAGCGGCCTTTTCTTATTTTATGCTTTATTGTGCCATCTGCACCCTTTATCGAATACGATCACCGGTAGTATTGCCATGATTACACATTTCCCTCAACATTAACATTTTTGTGACTCATTTTGTAGGTGTATTGGAAATTAGAGGCTCCACATGCACTCCATGTAACATTGTTGTTCTTGCTACCATCTATGAGACTTGCATTTCACTTCGCTATCTGCCTTAACTCAACAAATTAAGTACATTATAAACAAATCGAGATTTTAAAAATATCTTTTTATGTCCTAATTCATAAGATACCCTTATTTATTTCAGAACTTCCTTAATGTTCCACCATATGACTTTTTCACTAAATTTCGATTTTAAATTAATTTAACAACTAAAAAGCTAACTTCTTTTATAACCGAGAAATCCCCGAGAACCAATGGCGCACGGTTCGAAACTCAGTGGATAATGGCCTGCCCCTCTACCCTCCTCCATTTAAATATCACGACTTTGTGTTCGACAGGGTTCAAAACCGTGACATGCACCTAACCCAAACATCATCCAGTACACTCTTAGCGCTAAACCGCTAGACCAAAGCCCTGGGAAAAAATCTAAATTTTGACACGATGTTAATTCTATAAAACTGACTTATAATTACTTTTTAACAATTGTTTTAATATATTCTTCCATTAATAGTACTATATTACATAGTCAAAATAAACTTCCTAAATTTCATCCATCTAAGAGAAACAAGAGGGGCTAGTATAAAGAAAGACACAACGCGTCGAAAAATGTGGATAAATAGAGAAATGAAGCTAACCTTATGATGGTGGACACTGTTGAGAAGGTAAGTATAATTTTGAGCAAGATTAATCCTCTGCTGAATAAAAGAGGGGTCTTTTGGGCATTCAAGATTGTTGTTCTTCTTGAACTCTTCCCTGATGAAGCCAGTGAAATGAACCTTGTGTTCTTCCTTCCCTATATGCTTTTTCACTGCTTTTAGTAGATTCCTATACACCATTAGCGAAGATCTTAAACGTTCAGAAGACCCCATTTCTGCAAAATTCCCAAAATACCATCAATCTCAGAAATTCGAAAAGTACTCTAATAAAAATCCACACTTTGGAAACAGACTACTGGGCGAAAAAAGAAAAGATTCAATTTTTATTTTTTGGGGGAATTGTTTTCAAGTTCTTGAATAGTTCTCAAAGATTTAAGACATAAAAATAGGAAGTAGCTGTAAACATAAACACGTCACATTCGTTTATGAAAGCATCTCATTGTAGCGTGAAATACAGACAAAAGTGATTTAATAAAAAGAGAAGAAAGAAAAGGAACCTCAATTGACAAATCACACAGCGGAGACTTGTTTGAATCAAACTGGGTTTTCGCTTTTTGCTTATGGTTTTAGCTGGCTGTGGTTGCTGTAGTGAAAAAAAGTGGACCTGGGTGAAGAAACCGGTTCCAGGTTGCAAAATGGGTCTTATGTCAAAAGATAAAAAATAAGAAAAATGGTCACTTATGTTTGGTGTAGGTTCAAAATAGTCCGTCAAGTGTAGGTCGAGAATCGAGATCCCCTCCAGTAGCTTTTCCTTCAATTTTGTCCAATATACCTCTTGATTATTGACACGTGGCAAATATTAAGAGCTCGTTTGGATTAGCCGATGGTAAATAGCTGATAAGTTTGACAGTTGATATGTTTGATTAAAAAGTGCTCATAAGCTAATCTTTTGTTAAAATGACTAAAATACCCTTGAATTCTTTTTCAAAACATTGTCAATTAAAAATTTCTTTCTAAAGAAAAGAATTACCAACGAATATGGAATGAAGAGAACGCCAAGAAATTTATTTTTGTGAAGTAGAAAATATTATTAAGGATAAACTAGTAAAAGTGTTGGTCAAATTAAAAGTCCTTATAAGCTGAAAAATAATAAGAGCCCGTTTGGCTTAGCTGATTTATAGTAGCTGATAAGCATTAGCTGTTGAAAAGCACTTTTAAGTGCTGAAGCTGATTTAAAAAATAAGCAGTTATGTGTTTGGATAAAAGTGCTGAAAGTAATAATAAGCAGCTAAAGAATTGGTTATACGAAGAGTTTTGTTTTAAAAAAAATATTTTAGGGATAAAATAGTAAATATTTTGGTCAAACCTAAAGTGCTTATAAGCTAAAATTTGATAAGTTGGGAGAGACCAACTTATGGCTTTTGGCTTATTTTTGGCTTATAAGCACTTAACTTATAAGCACTTTTAATTTTACCAAACGCATAGATAAGCCAAAAAGTGCTTATAAGCCAGTTTGACCAGCTTATAAGCTTAGCCAAACACCCTCTAAGTTGGGAGTGATCAGCTTATGACTTATGACTGATTTTAGCTTATAAGCACTTTGGATATTTACCAAACACGTAGATAAGTCAAAAGATGCTTATAAACCAGTTTGACCAACCAAATACCCTCTAAATCCTTTCTAGTACTCCAACTTCTACGGCCGATTCTGACGTCCGGTCGGGTCCACTGATGATTGATGGCCATTTCAGTTAATTCGGGTCATGAAATATTTTCTTTGTAATATTCTAGAAGCAAGTCTTTATTGAATCAAAAAATTTAAATTTCAACCTCCACTATATTGAGTTGTAAATATTTTCACAAGACAAAACTATTCATGAATCCTTTATACGGAATGTCTAAATCATAACTTTCTGTATTTTATTATAATTTCTCAATATTTCACATGATTCCGAAGTATTGTATAGCAGATGAAATCATCACTACAAGACATTCATTTGAGTATTGTATAGCAGATGAACTTGAGTAATAATTTGGTCGTTGGAATTTAGTAAATTATGTTCGAAACAAAAATTAGAATAAATAAAATAAATTGGAAGACAACTTTAGGTAAAACAAGATGAAGTTTCGAGTTCAAATTATGTGTACTTAAAGAATTTAATTAGCTCACAATTGCTCAAAGTTTTGAATTAATTCTTCTCATAATAAAATAAAATAAACTATTCTATTATAGTAATATTTCAAATTTCATATATTCAACGAACTTAAAGACCGAAAATTGTTGTTCAAATTTCAGTCAATGACTATTTGGGAATGCCACATGACTTACGAAAATAAAAATTAAAGAGAAACTATTCATTCCAAACGATATTTCAAGTAATCAGATCATTTAGCCAAAACTAAAACTGAATCCAAATCGAATGATGACAGCAACAGCGCGAGGCTTGTCTTATTCTCAACTCTTTAAGAGCTAGTAGAAGTATTTCAATATAAGCATAATAATTTTCTTCTCTTTATTTCATATAGGATAATATTCCTTTATTTTTCATTCACACCTTTCAGAAAAACCTAACAATCCTCCACATAAATAGGGAATGAACATTTGTTAAAAGACATGCAGAAAAAACTTTGTAAATTGCGCTATTAAGAATTAATTGCCTCTAGATAAATAGGCTGCCCTTTGAAATAGTGAACATCTATCAGATGTACTTGTTCAATTTGTAAATATGATATCCTTGAAGTATCGAACTTTAATATATACTTAGACAACATAAATCACTCAATTAATTCTTAATTATTTTTCGTTCTCATTATTGTGTTCGTTTTAGTCGTGAACATTGCCTGGTTTCATGAGTGCATAAAGAATTGGCTTTATAATCGTTCTCCTTGAAGCATGTCACACTTCATACTCACATAGGTGATTCCTAAACGTGTAACCCGTAAATACAATATTTTCTCATGCCATCTCAAACTTAGAATAGAAACCATTAAAAAGGCTTCGCACTTCATCCTTGTTTGTCAACATTGTCTTATCACGAGAATAGATTGAGTTTATTCACAATGTTGAACCGTCATTCATAAAATTATTTGTTCTCCTTGAACCTAGACCTTGGGATCTCTAATCTTCTAGGTAGAGTTACCGTCATCATGATGACTTATCCTCGGCCATAGTCTCATCCGCCTCGATGGTGTTACAATTGCCTCTCTAGTTAGGCCTTGTGGTGAATTGGAAATATTATCTCATGACTTTATGCATACACTTGTGCAATTCCACTAGAGAGTAGTTGTCTAACAGTATTATTTCTTCGTCATATTTGACGAAATTTATCGTTAACGCTCCCAGCCATTCCTATTATTGCTTGACTATCGCAATATATGCATATAGGTTCCAACGTTTTGAGCCAAAATGGAATGTCTTTCAAGAAATTCGATCCAAAGCCATCCAGCTTTTTCACAGGCCTTGTCTAAAGCTATGAACTTAGACTTCATTGTAGAGCGGGCGATGCATGTCTGTTTGGACGAGTTTCCAAAATACTGGTCCTCCAATAATGGTAAAAATATATTTACTTATGGATTTAGTTTCGGGTGATCTAGTGACCCAATGTATCACTATATACCGCAATTACCGTGTGATACTTGTTACTACAAAATAAAGTTTTGGATTTGCTTCAACTCCCCTAAAACTCGTTTCATTGCTGTCCAATGAGTTTGATCATGATTACTTGTGTATAGACTCAATTTTCTCATCGCATAAATTGTGTTTGGTCGTGTACAATTCATGATGTACATCAAACTAATTGAGTATTGTTAATGTAAACACCTTTGTCACACTTATAATTTTGAAACCATTTGACAACAACGTATGGTTAAATTTCGCTACTGACCTACAACCTAGGACTTTATTGTCGTTTTAAAGCTGATCTGAAGGTACCATCTTTGTCACGACCCAAAATCCACTAAGGGTCGTGAGGGCGCCGGACACCATTGTCAGGCAAGCCAACAATCAATAACTAGAAACTTCTTGTTTTAACCTTAAAGGAATCGTTCCTTTTATACATTTAGACAACAAGTAATGGAATTCATTGAAATAATAATAATGTCTTTAACCAAGTAGATATTTAACAATCCTACAACCATCCCAGAACCCGATCTCACAAGTGCATGAGCATCTACTGATAAGGAAATAAAATACAACATCCGTCCGAAATACAATGGACAGGAAATAAATACAATATACTGAAAAGGGCTATACTAGCTGCGGGCCACCTCGAATAATGCAACTCACCTAGCCCCCAAATCATCCGTGCTGATACGCCCAGTAGGCCACAAGAGTTACATATACCTGTGCAACAAAAATGCGCAGAAGTGTAGTATGAGTACGTAAACAACGTGTACTCAATGAGTATACCGCCTAATCTCGAAGAATTAGAGACGAGATGGTCGACTTCAATACTTGCTAGAGGCCCAATAATAATATACTAAAAGTGTGAGAAAATCGTGGATTTGTATAGCAGTTCTAACTCACAAAGCGGGAAGACAGATAAGCACCTTTAATAAATAATAAAGGATTTTCAAGGTTTACTTTTCATTATCTTATCAATTTATATCAAGCCATGAAAGGCAATATCAACATTTAAAATTCTCGGGAAACAATATATATGTCATGCGCAAATCACGCCGAGGTCGACGGCCCGCTCCAACAGAAATGTAAATTGTGCACTACCGAGGGTCGAACGACACGAACCATAGATGCATCTATTTAATCTGCCGAGGCGTTCGGCCCGTTCCATAAATAAACACATACCCTGCTCGCGAATCATGCATGCGACGCAGGTACACATAGGGATACATGCTCAATCAGTCAATTAAGAACTTATCGGGGAATATTTATCCAAATAAAACCAATTCTCCTTTAACAAATTTTAAGAAATAAAGTTTAATCCCTTTAGAAATTCACTTACTAATTCAATGTGATTAAAGCAATTCAAGCTATCAATGGGTTCGTAGACAATCCAAGTATAACATACTTTTGGGTCCTAACTACCCGGGTAATAGCATAATAGTAGCTACGCATGGACTCTCGTCACCTCGTGCGTACGTAGCCCCCGCAAATAGGAGCACATAATCAATTATTTCACCTATGGGGACAATTCCCTCTTACAAGGTTAGAAAGAAGACTCACCTCGCTCCGAAGATCCATAACCGGCATTCCACGCCCTTCCGAAGACTCTACTTGATGCACCACGCTCCAAAACTAGCCAACGGTTACGCAAATCCATTAATATATGCTCAATTATTCATTACAATCTAATTTATAGCAATTCCTGACTCCGATCGAAAAGTTGACCAAAATGCCCTCGGGCCCACATGCCCGGAATCCGAAAGTTTTCGAAGATAAAGATTATCCATGACCTTAGGAACTCAAATAAATAATTTTCTCTAGATTCCATACCCAAAATCGTGGCTAAATTCCGAGAATATAATTTCTAGGTCTTTCTACCAAAACCCCAAATTTTCTACACAATTCATGCTTAAATCCATACATAATTGATGTATTTAACTCAAAATAGGTGGGGATAACTTACCTTAACGTTGATGACGAAAATTCCCTCTTGAAGCTCCCCAAAATCGCCCATGCCAAGTGAAATATGAGAGAAGAATGGCCAAAATCCGATTTTTAAAACCCCTCTGCCTCCAGCTATTTTCGCACCTGCG